ACGGAACGCGGAGCACGGAAGCACGGAGCACGGAATACTATCTGGTCCAGGAAAAGTTTGTTTTGAAACAATAAAGGGACATTTCAAGTTCGTGTAATATAAATGGAGCATTATAAAGTTCCTGCGCGCCACCTTATAAGATATCAGCTTTTTTTAAATTTTATCATGTGTCACTGAAACGTTTGAGTTTAATAATGAGAACTGGAGGCATACTCGAAGTGCTCACTAAGGTTGTTGGCCTGTTCCTCAAGACTTGCAGGTCACACTCCCTTTCTACTCAAGAGTGGGACATTGAATGTCCGGTAAGAGCCGTCGAACTTATGCACGCGCCTCATACCTCATTTGCAAACACTGTGTTTCTAATAAACAAAAACGTACCCTCGAGTACCTTCCGTTCGCTTGCGTTCAAATACTCATCGCCTCCTGCCCTATCCCCTTTAACTTTAGTCAAATCGTCTGTTGTGGGTCAGCGCCTAAAAATACCCTATTCATAATATTGTACTTTTTTTTAGCCATATTCCACTTTTGTTCCAAATGGGCTTAGAACTCCTGGGTACTTGCAGAGACGACATGCGGATGGAGAGAGTGGCAGCCCGTAAAATGTGTTAAGTGATATGTTCAGTGGCTCTGTTACCAATATCGTCAACTGATGAGCATGTCAAAAGAGATGATTGTTTGAAAGTGGCACAGTTGGCGTTCTCGAACTTCAAAAGAAGAAAGAGCGTTGGCGCTGTCATGGACAGAGGGTTAAATTATAAAATGAGAGAAAAGTTGTCATTTCCGTGAGGAATTGGGAAAATCTTCCATGAAAGTATCTGAAATAATGATGGATTTCAAATAGATCGGTCAATGGAAGTAGAAATGTGAGTTGATGAGCTATAATACGGGAATTCATTTGCGTTTAGCGGGCAAAATCCTGTAGAAAGCAAAAAGCGTTCGACAAGAGTGCTTGAGAATCTCGCCTGTCACTACTCAAAATATAATTGTGTGCGTTAAAATCTATTAGATATAAAAAAGATAAAGTATGTTGATTAACAGGTCTTCCAGCTCATCTGAATGCAACTGACAAGTTGAAGGTATATACAAAGAACAGACTATAATTATAGATCTTTAAAAATGCATGTGGCCACTGCCTACAGTGAAGTCTCCAGTGGCAGATCGTTACATGGAACTGGACGTTGCACAAACACCGCACCACGTCTAGCTGCGTAAGCTGCATGTGTACAGTTGTTGCGAAACACCAGGAAATGCTTAAAAAAATTAGTATGGGTTGCCTTTAGGGACATTTCCTGTAAGCAACAAAGAATTGGATGGTGATCCATTAAAAGGTAGCTCACATCGTTGTAGTTAGGCAAGTGGCCTATGCAGCTCAAGTAAATGAGAAAAAAAAAGACTTTTATCTGCATCAAAGGAACCGTGTAAATATTTGTTTTAAACAAACAAAAACTGTAAACAGTAGTTTTTATGGTTTTAATCCCAAATTCAGTGGGATTGTTTTTTGTTCTCGTTTTTTTGTTTTACAATTTTTCAGGTTTTTTGGGAACCTCACAGAAGAATGAAAAGAAAGATTCTGATCCAGAGGGAGAGAGAAAGAGAGATGAAACTTTATTAGTTTCATCTCTCTATTTTTCATTATCATAAGGTGCACTGAAAAGAAGGGTGAAGTTTTATAACTGTTCCTCCTATGTTGTACACCAACATTTTTCGTTTCACGTTCAGCGCACTCACGTCCAACTGACGGACGGCCCCATTTTTTCTGAGGGGTTTGATATCGATAAAACTTATTAAGCACCTAAAGCGCGTATCAAAAACTACTGAAAAAACCCTGAGGGTTTTCAGTAGGTCTAAGAAAACCCCGATTATTTTTTTAGCCAGTAACATATACATTAGCTATTTGATGGAAAACGAACTAGGCTTAGCTGCTGGGTTAACAACTTTTATTTTAAGACGTTGTACAACTCGGCTATGAAGCCGCTTCTGATAGATAGTGCTGTCGGTTCTACGTGAGTGCGCCGTACGTCGGAGCTGAAGTTTTGGGGTGTATTATGTGTGACGGGGGTGTAAAATTACACCTTTTTAAGAATGTGTGAAGTCCTAATCCATTTTTTTTCATCCAGTGAGATTTCGGGTCTTTAGGGCGATAGAAGTGTATCTGGCCGCCCAGGATTGTAAAAAAGCCACGGAGAGGCAGTCGCCGATTTCGTACAGAAGGGCGAGCTGGTGTCGCTGACAGAACGTCAGGCTCCTTGGTGGGTGCAGTACCCTTCTTAAAGGGCACAACCTCGTTGGTGCATGAAGGCAGCGGGTTGCCCACCGTTTTCCGAGGTTCAGAATAAGTCCTTTGTGCAGAGGACGGGTCTTCCGGGGAAGTCTGCGTCACCACGGATGCCATAGATAATGGGAATGCCCTTCGAACCGCCTGGGCATATGAACGAATTGCGTTGAAAGCAATCTGTTCTTTAGCTTCCTGGAAGGTTATACTGTGTTTGAACTTAAAAGTGAATACACACATTTTTTCTTTCTCTTGAGAACTTGTGCGTGAAAATGCGGGGTGTGGTCAGCCACAGTTCATTCCGTATTTTTCATTCATGATCATTTTCACAGATGGCGGCGATGGGGTAAGTGGCACTACATTTTCCGAAGGTTTTTCGGCGGCGGCACTTTCGGAAACCGAGCCCAAAACACTCTCAGCTGTTGCACCTTTGAGGATTTGGAACGAAAGGACGAACTCTGTAGTTTATGTACTCCGCTTTTATGGTGAAAGGCAGGGAGTGGAGTTCAATAGTCAGTGCAATGTGTCGGTTCAATATTTCCCATCCGCTTGTCGTAGGGTGATCTGCCTTACGACTTCTAAAGCACTCCTGCGTAAACCTTCATGGAATTCACCTTCAACGCACCAAAGGATGCGGTGAAGGGGAATTCCATGAAGGCTTAGGGATGACGCATCTGGCTGTGTTCAGACTGCGTTGCGGCGTTGCAGAGAAGATGTCTTCGCCTAAGCTTGTCAAATTAGGTAATGCTGTGCTTTGAGCTTTATTTTCTACCTCACCGAGGAGGTCCACGGCAAGTTATCTGCCTTGCAATTAATTCTAACTGCCTTAGCCATGCTATCACTGAGATAAGAAAAAATGAACTCTACGAAAAAGGTTTATCATCGTTTGGAACATAAATTACAAAAAAACAAAAAGAAAAAAAATATATTTTTCGGCCTTGACAAATAGGAGGGGGAGCGGTTAAGCTCTTTTAAAGGGTCGCTCTGCTCTGGGTTTAGAAGAAAGGGGCGCCGTAGAAAGGCAAGAAGAATTCGGTTCCTGCGGTGCACCACCCACAATGGTGCCCAAGGTGGTGACGGCTAAATATTTACAACAATAGGGGCTTTGTTGAGTATGTATTGCTATTAACAGCTGCCACGGTTCTATACTTAAGTGTGGTTTAAGAAGAGTCAATCACTACGCAAGGTTAACCCTTGCCACGAAAGAGGGCGAAAGATGAAGGTAAAGAGAAAAGGAGGAAAGTGCACGAAAAGAGGGGACAGGTGTAGAATAGGCGAGTGACTGAACCATTCTTGCCAGGCCTTACCAGGACTCCCGTCTATAAAAGCAGGGGACCGAAGTGGCGCATTGCCACGCCGGGGCGCCCCGAAAGTTCCAACGATCCCCGCACTTGAATGAACCACCGGGATGCCCTTTTCCTCAGACGTGGGAAAGCCCAAAAGAGCTACTAGAGTGTCCACACTGTTGGTGTAAGATGCAGGGACGGCGCCAAAGGGAGGCAAGGGGTGGCGACCGCCTCCCCTCCAGTTTGTCTTGCCACCCCAAAATAAAATACCCCCCCCCCCCCCCCCCCCCAAGCAGTAACCAGCCGCCCGTCGTTTTCCTAATTTCAGCCCCAAAAGATTTCGACGCCTACCTGCCGAAATCCCAAAATCTTGCTTGCTTTTTTTTTTTTTTTGTAGTGGACAGGAGGATAACTTTTTATTCTGAGCAGGCAGGCGAGGCACAAGAGGCAGCGGCCGGGGAACAAACACTTCTTTGTGTGACCGACCTGCTTTATTACCTTTCCGTAGCCCGCGAAAAATGAAAGCTTTCTTGCCTCTCGTCGAAGCCGAGGGGAAGGAGCTCAGCCGTTCGCCCCTCGCGGTTTCTACACGTTGTAACGCGGCCCCGACTTCCTAATAACGGCGCCCACGAGTCCCTGAGATAACACCCTGTCCCACATTCTCACGGGTTTCTCCGCATCGCCAGCGGGATAAGCTGACCTTCGGTGCTATCCCGGTTCCCTCAAAACAGCAAGGCCGCGACCGGTCAATCACGGGTGAGCCGTCTCTGGCCGTTGCCAGAGACGGCTCACCCGCAAGCGCGGTGCCCGGGGGTTAGCTACTTGGCGGCCAAGGACCTTGGCTGAACGCTGAGCTGGCTGAGCCGGGGAGCCCACCATTTCCACGAGAGCGACACTGCTGGTGACATCGCCGTGGCGAGAAAGAAACCTTCGCTTTCTCCCTTTCTTCCTCACCCACGAGGGGAGAAAAAGGACGCTGAAGCTGGAAGCATTGTGGAGAGCTATACTCTTGGGTACGCCATGGCATCCAATTGTCCGATAAGTGACTTTTTTCAACGAAAGGGGACCAAGCGAAAAGTTCAAGAGAATGTCACCGAACCTGAACCCGCCAAAGAAAAGCTTTCACTTGATGAAGAGTGTGTGCTCAACGCAAGCGCCGGGAAACAAGAGTGCGAGTCAACTTTTGGTGACAGCGATGGGGATGGCCCGGATGACGAGTTCCAGATCGAAGAACTCCGAACGAGAGCTCCTGATATAAAGGTCGAAATACCTCCTGATGTAGCCAGGACAGCCCATGATTCGCCGGTACAGCCTGTGCTACAATCCTTCCTGTTACTAAATACGGGAACGACGGCAGGATCTTCAAGTCTGAATGGTACACCAGCTTCCCATGGTTGGAATACAGCGTGACTTCGAACTCGGCATTCTGTTTCGCCTGCGGAATGTTTTCAACTAGCAATGGACAGAGGAGTGGAAGTGCTGTGTTTGTGACCGAGGGCTATCGGAACTGGAAGAAAGCGCTTCAAAAGGACAGCGGACTGCGACTCCATTCGAACAGTGCAGCGCACAAGTTGTGCCAGGCCTTATGGGCATCCTTCAAGCAGATGAAGGAAAAGGGCGCCGAAAATTCAGTCTCCGTGCACCTCAGCGAGGCGTATTTGAAAGAGGTAAGAGAAAACCGCCACTATATCTCTGTGATAGCTGACGTGCTGAGGTTTTCTGCAACACAGGGGATTGCCCAGAGAGCGGACGGTGAGTCAGCCTCAAGTGAAAACAAAGGAAACTTTCTCGAGCTCCTTCAGCTTGTAGCGAAAAGCGATGCCATTGTGCTAAAAAAGCTGGAAAATGGCCCTGCCAACGCGAAATATACTCACCATTCCGTTCAGGATGAGATACTCTCAGCAATGTCAGATATGGTTTTGCGTCGTTTCAAGACCGAGGTGGACAGCGCTCAGTGCTTTGCGCTTATAGTGGACGAATCTAGAGATATCAGCAAAACGGAACAGCTCTCTGTGGTAGTCCGGTATTTCCTGAACAAATCCGTCTACGAAAGATTTCTTGGGTTTAGGAGTGCCAAAACGCTAGACGCTGCCTCTCTCCTGAGCTAGGTTAAGGAAACGCTCTCCAGATGTGGAATTCATCTTAAGAACTGCATCGCACAAACCTATGACGGTGCAAGCGTAATGAGTGGCAAGAGCAAAGGTGTTCAAGCCCTTCTCAAGTTAGAAGTGCCTCAAGCCCTGTATGTCCACTGCTTCAACCACCGGCTGAATTTGGTTATTGTCGATGCCTGCAAAAGCTTTGATTCCGCGAGGACCTTTTTCTCTTTAATAGAGATGTTGTATGTCTTCTTGGGAGGGTCTGCCACACATGCGCTGTTCATCACAGTTCAAAAGCAGGTGTGCGGCACAACGATCGAACCGAAAGGCATCAGCGAGACAAGATGGACATGCCAAATTAACGCATGCAAAGCCGTCCTACACGCGCTTCCTGCAATAATTGTCACACTCACAAAGATCGCCGAAGGCGGAAGATCAAGATCAGCAGAAGCACGCGGAATTTTGCACCAGCTGAACTTCACGTTTGTTTCACATCTGAGTATCTTTAGCGAGCTTTTGGGTGAGCTGCAGATTCTTTCAGATTACCAGAACAAGAACTGCGACCTTACTCATGCCTCCATGATGGTCAGTGTGGTACTTGACCGATTTAGATACCTAAGGACGTCAGAGGGTTTCTCAAGCATTTGGAGTCAGTGCTTAAGCGTTGCAGAGACAAACGGAATTCGTCTCGTAGAAGAGCGAAGAATCAACCGTCTGCCGGCGCACCTTGCAAAATATCTAACAGAAGCCCAGCTGCCCGGAGAGGACCCCAGCTACTCCACTGAAAACGACTGCCGTGTGCACGTGTTCCTTCCCATCCTGGATAGAACGTGCGAAGAACTTAAGCGAAGATTTAGCGACAGTGATCTCATCCTGAAGGGTTTAAACTGTTTTCAACCTCAACACGATCGCTTCATGGACATCTCGCTGGTCGAACCGTTTGCAAAGCACTACTCGTCCGACTGGGATGCACTTGTGGCCGAGATGAATCTGCTTCCCAGGGTTTTACAGCGATACGAAAGAGAGAATGGGTGCAGTGTGACCACCACAATATTGTTTGCCGAATTTTTAGGCAAATTTAAAATTGCCTTTCAGGAATCGTACCGTCTTTGTGTTATAGCGTTGACTATCCCTGCCTCCAGCGCCGCCTGCGAACGCACGTTCTCGTGCCTTCGTCGGCTGAAGACGTATTTCCGATACAGAATGTCTGACAAGAGGCTCGCGAACTTGGTGGTTCTCGCCGTGGAGAAGTCCACCGCGAAAAGCCTGGAACTAGATGACGTTGTCAACGCCTTCGATGGTGCCCATCACAACAGACGGATTCGACTTCACTGAACTTTGGGGAACGAGTGCGAACGTGCCTTAATGTGAAATTTCAGAATGTAAATATTTGTAAATAACGAACATGTGCAATGTAATTCAGGTTGTAAGTACACTGTCAACCAAAGAAATAAACTGGGGTGATAAAAAGTGAAAGCCGCTTACAACTCCCTGTAACGCCGAATTAGAGCGCAGCTCTTGAGGAGGAGGAGGGAAGGGCACTGGGGGGGGGGGGTTCAACTAACCAGGGGGGTCACGTGACCTTGGGGGTCATGTGACCTTGGGGGTCACGTGACCCCCAAATGCCGATGATGTCATCACTGACGTCACTGATGACGTCATCAGTGACGATGACGATGCGGGTACCGATGACGTCATTACTGACGTCACAGATGACTTCACCAGTGATGATGACGATGACGATGTGGATGCCGGTGACGACATCAGTGACGTCACTGATGACGTCATCAGTGATGATTACGATGACGATGCGGATGTCGGTAACGTCATCAGTGATGATGACGATGACGATGCGGATGCCGGTGACGTCATCAGTGATGATGACGATGACGATGCGGATGCTGGTGACGTCATCAGTGACGATGACGATGACGATGTGGATGCCGGTGACGACATCAGTGACGTCACTGATGACGTCATCAGTGATGATGACGATGACGATGCGGATGCCGGTGACGTCATCAGTGATGATGACGATGACGATGTGGATGCCGGTGACGTCATCAGTGATGATGACGATGACGATGTGGATACCGGTGACGTCATCAGTGATGATGACGATGACGATGTAGATGCCGGTGACGTCATCAGTGACGATGACGTCATCGGGGGGTCACGCGACATCGGCGGGGGTCACGTGACCTCAGGAGAGTCACGTGACTTCGGGAGGTCACGTGACCTCGGGGGGTCACGTGCCCCCACGAGGTCACGTGATCCCGGCGGGGGGCTCGCGCGGTGCATTATGGGACACTTCCCATGATGCACCGGGGTCACGTGACCTCGAGGGGGTCACGTGCCCCCTCCCCCCACGAGGTCACGTGACCCCGGTGGGGGGCTCGCGCGGTGCATTATGGGACATTTCCCATGATGCACCGCGCGGTTACGCCGACGCCGACGCCGACGCCGACGGCGACGGCGACGCCAACGGCGACGCCGACGCCGCTCAAGCCGGAAACGAGCCCCTAAGAGCTGCGCTCTAAAATGTTATAAAATATTTTGAAGTGCTTGGTTCGTCCAGTTTTACGTCGTCGGCAGTGACTATTCTACGCAGCCATCGACCATTACTTTATTTATAATCCGCCTTTTTAACATGTCGTGAAAGGAGACGGCGGCAAAGCGATTTGCCTTTTTGTTTACACAATTCTCGGGTAGCTGCACGACATTAACAACCTCCAGCTCACTTCCAGGTTGACTGGCCGCCAACGCTTATTTTAGCTGTCAGAACCGACCTCCCGGTTTCTCATGAACCCCCCTCCCCCCCGCGAAAATGTAATACGCCTCCCCACTGCCCCCCCCCCCCCCCCCCCCCCAATCTGGAAATCCTGGCGCCGTCCCTTGTAAGATGCCATTAAACATCGGCCACAGATCGCAGCAGAGAAACACAATATCAATAAAAAATAGCCGGTCTCTAGGGAATTTCCCAAAGGCGTTTTAAATGCACAGATGCATATATATGGGTTCATTTTGCTCCCACTTTTGAGGGATCACTCACAAGGCCACTGAATGTCACATTGACATGAACAAGTGAATATGCAAAGCCGTCAAAATATCGCCTGGCATGATGATGTTAGATTAACTTGTGATTTGACATCCCTGGGTGACGTGACGTAACGTTAAAAAGTCAGTCACGAATTCCCCTGATGCCACGCAGTAGTGTGACGTGCCGTCAGACCGCGTCATAAGACACTGTGCTTGCTCAGTCTTGCGTGATGTCACCTTGTCACGCTATGTCAGTTTGGCGTGGCGTGACGGCACACATGCCAGGTCATGTCCCTCGACGTTGTCACGTGACGTCATGTCGTCGCGTGATATTACAGTGCATAACATGATGTCGTCTTGTCGAGTGACATCACAGTGAAAGTTATATCGTGGTGCCACATGACGTCTAGATGTCACTTTGCGTCAAGTGTCACAGGATGCCATAGAGTAAAGTGAGGTCACAAACAGCCTAAAAATGATTTGCATTTCAAGAGCCTTTGAGACGAAGTCAGTGTGTCACGTGAAGCTGTGACGTCGTCGAGGCAACATGCCATGGAAACGGAATCTCAGGTGCTCCAGAAATGAAATGCACTTAATATATGCTTAAGAGAAAACAAACAACATCACTCATCCTGTGAATTAGAGTATTCCGTTTTCATATTTACTCGTTAACATTAAATGGCACTTCATTTTACTTGTGCAAGTGGAAAAATAATGTGTATGATTGGTTCATCCGCCCATCATTCTTTTTTGGCCGTAACTCTTTCGACTTTCACTCTGAAATTAAATTGACATACTATTTAGACGTCGATAATGCTTGTTCCTTATGCGTAAAATTTTTGTACACCAAAGTTTCTAACGTTACCACCTTTAAAATTAGAGTGATTCTGCATAATATATATATATCTTTCTTGTGATATCTGTAAAAACAACTGACCCCAATTTTGAAGAGGAACCATCGAAGCATAATATCTAAGTACCTGTACCTGATGGGTGTCCAAATTTTCAGTTTTTCGAATGATTAAAAAATAGGATAATACACGCGCCCGCTGAGATTGGGTAAGATGATCAGGGAACGGTTCTTATCAAGGGTTGTGATACCCTCATTTCTTTTCAGAAGAGAAGGAGATGAAGGGGCGATCTGGGCCCGTTTGCTCGAAGCGCTAACCGCGGCTAAAGTTAGCCGCAGTACCTAGGAGAGGGATTTTGAGATCACGTGACTGGCTCGGTAGGGATGCGGGGAAACATGGCGGTGACCCAGTGAGTGAGCGCCGGTCGCTTTGGAACTAATATGTCGCTGTAGCTGGAATATCGGGCGCGTTAGTCAGCAACGAATATTGCAGGAGGCTTTCGCTTTGCCTTACCTCACTTAAACCGTAAAGCATGGGCAATGACATCGCCGCATTTTTTAGATAGTGTTTCGATTCTAGGCATTCCTAAGCCTCAATGAACGCGATAATTGTCGGCATGGCAACGTTTTTGGAAAGCGCATTGTTGATAGCACACAAACGCAGACAGCGTCCCGACAGACTTTTTTCTAAAATATCCAAGCATCACGAGGAGAACGCTGAAATTGTAATTCTACGGTTCACGCGCGCTGGCCTTCCTCTTATAAAAGATTTGAAGTAAAAAATTATAATAAGGCTTTAACGAACGCGCGTACAAGGCAAAATTTGTTTTATACTTTTTGCTTTAGAACGGTTACTACTGCAGACGCCAGCACGTGCGACGCGTGCAACTACAGTCGTAGCATGCACCTCGGTGCTTGGATAATTTAGAAAAAAAGGTCGGTTGGGACGCCGTCTGCTTTTGTGTGCTATCAACAATCCGCTTTCCAAAGACGTTGCTATGCCGACAATTATCGCGTTCATTTAGGCTTAGGAGTACCCAGAATCCAAACACTATCTAAAAAATGTGGCGATGTCATTGCCCATGCTTTGCGGTTTAAGTGAAATAAGGCAAAGCGAAAGCCTCCTGCACCATACGTTGCTGACTAACGCGCCCGATATTCCAGCTACAACGACATATTAGTTCCAAAGCGACCGACACATTAGCTTCAAAGCGAGCGGCGCTGACTAACTGGGGCACCGCCATGTTTCCCCGCATCCCTACCGAGCCAGTCACGTGATCTCAAAATCCCTCTCCTAGGTACTGCGGCTAACTTTAGCCGCGGTTAGTGCTTCGAGCAAACGGGCCCAGGAAGCGAAGCTTTAGAATCAATTACCTGGATTTGCATTGCAATACATGTGAATAATTTTACGTTTATTTTACCATATCTTAAGCATGATATAAATGCTTCAAAGGAATGTTATTCTTTGGAAAGGAGCACATGGCGAATTCCAGTTTAGGACATACCAATCGTTATTATTCAGACCATTTGAGATTATTTCAATCATTAAGCTATTAATAAAAGTGTCGTTAAATGTATTTTCAATCCTGCTGTGCTTATGGAAAAAATACTAATGTGTAGTGTGAGTTCTCCTTTTTGGCTTCTTCTCGCCCAAGTTTTGATTTGCTATGCGTTGAGATACTTTACTCTGGACACGCTTGTTATCTGACTTTTGTCGCAGTTCCGAGTTTGGAGCGTTGTTGCTTTTTGCATGCATTCCTCTTTCTGCATTCGTTACACGAAAAAAAAAATCTGAACCTAACCCTTCCCCCCCCCCCCCCCCCCCCCGCAAGTGTACCTCACGTGATGCTGATTTTACGGCTTTCTGATGAGGCGCAGTGACGTCGAACTTCGCTGGCTCATGGTCGGAGGCGCGGAGGCAATGCCAAGACTGTACAAACACTCTTTGCGGGTCTCCGATGGGAGAGGCCTCGCCGGTTGACTTCACGCAGCTCCGTCCGGAAGAGTGTCCTTCGTGTGAACACCGCATTATGGAAGCAAACTTTTAACGTGTGTTAATGTTCTGTGCAGTACAGTAAGAGTTAATACTAAGTTCCTTGTTGCAGCTCATAGCAGAAACCCCCCAAGTAAATTCTATGGTCACCCTTCTTGAGAACTCCTCGTGACGTCATCAAACCCCTGAGTGCTCCAGCCGCTGCTGCTGCGGCTGCATTTAAAAGAAAACAACAACTTCCGCTCGTCGAGCCGGTTTTAGATCAGCAACCTAAAGAACATAGCAATGGTGTTTCTTTCAATCTGCCACTCTAACAACTGAATCAACGACGGTACAAATTTCTGTGAATAAAAAGCAGTACACATCGTTTCAATATCTACAATTCCTCAACGATGTTTTCAATCTCGCCAGCCGAGCATGGGCATGTTCGTCGCTTCAGAAAGCCAGGAAGTC